TCATCTTACTCAAATCTCCTAAACACAGTCTGCAATTCACCAATCAAATACCAATTATGTATACAAACTCGACAACTAATTCCAATCTAACCCAAATCCAAATTCCAACATAATTTAATTCCAATCACAACTAAATCCTAAATTAAATATCAGAAGGAAGCATAATTAACATAATTACAAGAGGTACAATCCATCCCATAACAGCCCCTGCAAAATTTCAGATTATTAGTATTATGTTCGAAATTAAGAAATTCGATGAAAATAGGCAAGAGAAGGTGAAATTGAATAATACAACCTTTCTTCCGATGTTTACCGGTGGATTCGTAGGCAGCTAGAATTGGAGCAAGTGGTGTGGTAGGCTTCATCGTCGTCGGTGGGAGAAAAGAGGTTATGGTAAAGAAATTGGGGGGATTTGCGGTAAAAGAATTAGGGCTTGACGAAATTGAAAGAAAATCGGGTGTGAAATTCAGATTTTTCTCAGAATTAGATGATGAAGATGACGGAAGGAAGGAAGAGATTGAAGGCGTAAGTAAGTAGCTAGGGCTTACTGAAATGGCGAAAATTTTAGGGAAGAAAGTACTGGGTGAACGATGGAAAAGGGAGAACGATGAAAAAGGGAGAGAAATAATTTGGGGAAGAAAGAATATACAAATAAAAATCTTCTTACCTGGAATTACCGACTATTGATTCGAAATCTGAAATCTCTCTGGCCCAAGACTATGATTTAGGAATTTTCTTAGTAGGCGCCGTCGAACAAAATGAACTTTTGCCCAAAATAAAGAAGAATAAATTCATCGCTTCGCTTGCAGGAGGGGCTGGTCTGCGTCGCTGCACTTGCCTGAAATTGGCTTCGCTTGCGGACCCGCTCACATCTCCCCCGTTTGTTTTCGCCGCTTCGCTTGCACACAGAGACATTAATGCCGCTTCGCTTGCAGTCACCGCTGGTTCACAAGGATAGATGTCTGCTTCAACTTTAAATTCAATCTGAACGAACGAATAGATCATCTTGAGAATCCTGAATGAACAACAAAATAAAATTATTATTATTTTGTATCAAAAATATTTTTATTATATATATAAAGGGGAGAAAAAAGGAGCGACGGCTCCTAAACATAATTTTTTATTTATTTTAATTATTCTTATTCTTATTCTTATTATTACTATTATTTTATTATTGTTGATTTATCATTATAGTAATATTATTTTTTATTATGATTTATTTATTATATATACAGTAAATATTATTATTATTTTTATTATTAAATAATTATTACTATATATAGAATACAACTGCAGAGGCCGGCTGCACAGCTTTTTTTTTTTTTTTTTTTTTTTTTTGAAAATTTTTCTGATTTTCTCCTAAAGATGTATTGCCGTGTAGGTTTGATCCTTGAAGGATATCGCACTCTCAAAACCTACAAAGCATACTGCCGATGGATTAAATGTTCAAAATAAAATAAAATTCAATATTAAAATTAAATTAGCATTAAACTCAATATTTTCCAATTAAAAAAAAAGATACTAGGCTTATTCCCCGGCAACGGCGCCAAAATTTGATCGAATATTTTTGGAGAGTTTTTAAAATATCTTTTAAGATACAAAAAAAAGGGATATATGTATAAAATGAAAATAGTGTCGTGCGTGTTCATGTAGTAACTCCAAAAACTTCATCAAAAATAAAAAAATCTCTTTAACCGGTGAGTGTCTGGGTCGAACTCAGGGAATATGCGAATATCCTATATATAATTAGAAAAAGTGCAATGAGTTAATGCAATCAAAGAAACTGAAAAGATAAATTGCAGAAATTAAATCTAACTAAAAAGCAATAAAATATACGTATCTCGAAAAAGATGAAGCGAGGCGTTTGTGTCTGACTTTTGCGTTCCTTAATGGCTAGATTTCCATGGATGAAATGAGCGGGATGACGATGGCGTAATAGCGAAAGTTATATGTATAACTGCGGGGCGGCTCGGAGGAATGAACGTGATCGCATTTGCTCGCTTAAGCCGATTCTCGACTCGGTTGGTACTTGATCTTAGAGGATTTACAACGAGGCTTCAGCGACAGATTTTTGTTCAAAATTTTTGGTGGCGCCGATGACTTCCCTCCTCACACTTGAATTGTTGTTCGCCCTCGAACAATTTGTAGTTTGAGAAGGCGCTGCAAGTAATTCAAAATATATTTTCAACAGCAAAATATGAAATGCAGTAATATTACCTAAGAATTAAAGATATATGACTGCATTTAAACTCCCTTTTTGACTTCTTCGCGGCTCGGGAATATCCAAAACAGCCTCTCCTCACACTTATTGCCAAATAAGTGTGAATTTAATTTCGAACAAGGTGCTATCTCATGTAGATGGTTTTTTCGAGTAAAATGTCATATTGATGGGAGATTTCAATGATGCAAGGCTCGATTGGCTGCTCAAGGGTACCTACAAATATACCAGGTAAAGACTACAATGAATATTTTTCCCCGATGGCCAAACCAGTTACAGTAAAGGTGCTTCTGGCCATATTTTTCTTATATCGATAGACTATCCATCAAATGGATATTAGTAACTCATTCTTATATGGATATCTTGATAAAACCATTTATATGATACCACCACAAGGAAGCAATATTCCACATGGACACGTCTGTAAGCTCAATAAATCTCTTTATGGCTTGAAGCAAGCACCACGACAATGGTACAAGGAATTCAAGTCCAAACTTCTTCTCTTCGGTTATGTTCAATCCTGCTATGACAATTGTCTGTTCATCTGCTCTTCTAAGAACTCATTTACAGCTTTAGTTGTCTATGTAGACGACATTCTTGTTACAGGGAATGATCATCAAGCCATTGTAGCTGTCAAGGATTTTTTGCATCAGATGTTTGCTATAAAGAATCTTGGCCCTGCTGACTGTTTTCTTGGTATGCAAATTACTCATACTCACGGAGGAATCATTTTGTCCCAACACCGTTACTTGGAAGATATTCTCAATGGAGCAGGCCTTTAAGATTGCAACTCTTCTGCCACCCCAGTTGTCTGGTTCTAAATTGCAGAAAAATAGAGGTGATTCTTTTCCGAATCCTGAGAATTATCGTCGGTTAGTTGGCCGTCTCACCATGACATGCCCTAGTATTTGCTATGTTGTTCAACAGCTGACTCAATTTATGTCTGCTCCCACTAATGAGCATTGGAAGACTGCCCTAAGAATACTTCGATATCTTCACGGCTTTATGCATCATAAACTGGAATTTCCTTATGCTAGCTCTCCCACTTTGTTTGCCTTCACTTATGCAGATTGGGCTAGCATCCTTGATTCACAACATTCTATCATTGGTTATTGTGTCTTTCTAGGCCCCTTCCTAGTCACTTGAAAAACAAAGAAGCAAGCCATTGTCGCTTGTTCCTCGGCTAAAGCTGAATATCAGGCTCTTGTTACTATTTTTGCTCTAGGTTTGCTTGTCTCTTACGTGATTTTAGGTACTCCGCAAGCTTCATATTCCTCTTTACTATGACGACATGTCTGTCATCCATACGGTGAAGAATCCAGTCCACCACGAGCGTACCAAACATGTGGACATTGATTGTCACTTTGTGCTCAATCACTTTGTAGCAGGTCTAATTGATCCAATCCATATTTCTTCTTCCCAATAACTTGTTGATATCTTCACCAAAGCTTTATCCTAGTCCGCCTTCGCGTTGATTCGGTCCAAGCTCAATCTGGTCATTTCCGACCCATCCTCGCTTGAGGGGGGGTGATGAATGAGCACAACACTGCCACCTCTCCAAAAGAGAAGATTCTAGAAACTACTGATATTATTGACAATTGATGATTGTTCACGTGATTTGTCAATAAGTTAGGATGTTAGCTCAGAGTCTGTTAGCAATTATTTTCCATTCTGTATTTAAATCATTCTCTTGTAGAATATACTCTTCAGTTTAGTTTCTTATAGAATTCAATTTTTCTTATTTGTATTATTCACTTCTTACTATCAATTTATGTGTTTCATTGTTCATTTGATTACTTTCATCACACCTACACCCTCTTTGCTCTTCTTCTTCTTCCCCTTACATGTATACTTTCCGTCATACACTTTTTTCCCCATTCAATCAGTATCAAACAATAGGAAAGGAAACCAGACAATCTAATTAAAGCAGGTGAGCAGAAGTAGAATCCACATCAGTCTTGGAAGATCCTTGAGCGCGCCAAACACCGGAATCCCCCCTTCTTAGGCATCTTTGGGATTTCCACCAGCGGAGAGGTTTCATTGAAAATAGCGAGGGATAAGGTGGTGAGGGTTAGCATAAGAGCTATGGAGATGGAAATGTAACTCTTCAAAGTCGTGGATAGTGTCGATTACAATCGAAACTCGCCGATGCTCTTCCCCTCTCTCTCTAAATCCGTCTCTGGACAGGAAGGAATGGAAACACGGCGTGTTTGAATACATAATTTGACCTTATATTTGAACACGATCGTGTTGAATCCAAATTACACATCACATCAGCTTTCGTTATGGTCACGTCATTCTATTCCGTTAAAATTTGAACGATGAGCTAAAAAATGATAAATTAATTTTTGAATGAGACTGGTTTTGATAAATTCTTTTGAATGATACTAAAAATGTAAAAATAGGATTTTAATGAGATTGTTGATGTAATTTTTCAACAAAAATAAAGTAAAATTCAAAGATATAGAAAATATCCTTAAACTTGATTAATTAGTGCCTGAGATTAGGAATCTCTAAACACTGTATGGTACAGAAAATAAACTGGAAAATAAAAGACTGAAATTTAAAGTGGTGATCCCCAAATCTGACTTTGCTTTGTTGAAGTTGATTGAAGATATCCTGCCAAATGATGATCCAAACCCTTAAATATTCTCTGGGAAACTGTACTGAAAACCGTCGCCCGAACGGTTACAACGTCTCCTTTCCAACCGTCTTCCAACCCTTCTCCTGCTGACACGTGTCCTCAGCAGACCAAAATTATCCCTATATTTCACACTTTGAGCCGACCACAGACCTTCCGCCCTTTTGGCCCGACTGCCAATCTACAACCGTATTGGTCCGACTGCCAATCCTCCCGACTTGCAAACCATCTGACTTGTTTGGATTAGCTACAGACATCCCGACTAACAAACCATCCGATTTGTTGGTCCTGCCGCAGAGTTCCGACCTGAGAACTTCCCGACCTATCCAACCTGAGGACTTTCCGCCCTGAAGACTTTTCGACCTGCGGACTTTCCGACCTGAGGGCCTCCCGACCTGCGGACTTCCCGTCCTGAGGGCCTCCCGACCTGCGGACTTTCCGTCCTGAGGGCCTCCCGACCTGCGGACTTCCCGTCCTGATGACTTTCCGTCTTGAGGACCTCCCGACCTGAAGACCTTCCGACCTGAGGTCTTTCCGTCCTGAGGACTTTCCGTCTTGAGGACCTCCCGACCTGAAGACCTTCCGACCTGAGGTCTTTCCGTCCTGAGGACTTTCCGTCTTGAGGACCTCCCGACCTGAAGACCTTCCGACCTGAGGTCTTTCCGTCCTGAGGACTTTCCGTCTTGAGGACCTACTGACCTGAAGACCTTCCGACCTGAGGTCTTTCCGTCCTGTATTTTCCTTAGAAATAAACCTATTTTCCTTGAGCCAGTTCAACCAACTCTAATGCCAGGCCCATTCTTCTTTTACCTTGGGCTTTTTAACCTAATTCTAAATTTCATACGTAACAACTTGCCCGCCGCCAAGGGACTTTCAAACGCCATTTATCAATCGATGTTTGGAAGTTCATAAATCACCATCCTCTGAAAAATTCCCTTAGCAACCGCACCAGTTACTGCAACACTCCTGATTAACTTCCTTCTCCGCAATACGAACCTTTGTGAATCACAATCTCAATCACTCTAACCATGGCGAATCGATACATTCCTGCCCTTCCCTTCGACGGAAACCTCCCAGAGGGCCCCTTTTCAGCCTCGAAAGTATTAACTCCGACGATTCGCCCATACTGCACTACACCTGAAGACTCAAATCGGATGAGGGAATTTTTGGAATCCCGAAATTCCTTGGCCATCAACAACCCTAACTACCAAGCAGTTCGCATTCGCGACAGCATCAAAACCCATCTCACAGACCCAAAAGATCCTTATCGCTCTTGGTATCGACGGGTAGCAGAACACTTCCAGACCCAATGGCGATCTCAAAAAATCGACCAAGCAATACTATTATCCACCATGCCGATCAATCTGCACGAGAAGGTGCTCCTAGCCATGTCTGCCTTCTGGAATGCGGAAAATGGGACTTTTCTCTTACCGTCGGGCCCCTTTGGTCCGACTCTCATGGATGTGGCGATGATCGCGCATCTCCCAGTCGTGGGTGAAGACCCTGTGATAGGAGCCCTAGATGGGCAGGAGCCACCAGAAGACCATCCAGGGTGGTCTTTACAAGGCGTGAAGGAATGGGGCTGGACAAAGTTCGCAACCGACCAGCAAGGGGCTCCAGGGACCCCCGTGACCGACCGGGAGCATACTGCCTTTATTCTTTTTTGGCTTTGTAGGTACGTCATTGTTTCCCCTTCTAAATGCGTTCTTTCTTCTCATCTCGACCTGGCCATTCATATCGCGTCAGGTCGGTTCTTTTCCCTTGGCACCCTGTTTTTAGCCAATCTGTTTGAAGGACTCACCAGGGTTAGCCTTCGTTTAACAGATAATGATAATAGAAAATTAGACACTGCCGCATCGGGTCCTTTTTGGTTTTTAGAACTTTGGTCCCGTCTTTACTTCCCCAACGCATTCAACTTAGGATCTCCGCCCACTATGCCAATATCCGAAAAACATTTGGGATTAGCCCTCAACCGACTCTGCTCAGGACGCAGTAAACTCCAATCCTCCGATCCAATAATAACCACAATTTTAACAGACACCCGCAGTAACTCTCGATTTTCTATGTATAAAAAATATGCTGGTTATGCTCCCGACCACTTTTGGCCCTTTCCGGCACCAAATCCTCTTCCGACTCCTGAGCCTTGTCCTCATCCCACCTATCCTTTTGCCTGGGACGTTGCTCTCAAACCCAGGTCTCTTTTTAGCAGCAAGAAACTTGATAAAAAAGGGCAAAAAACTTTTTGCACCTTTAATTATGAACCTCAATTCATGGCGCGCCAGTTCGGCTGTTGCCAAGGTATCCCTGGACCCGTCGCTTGTCCTCATATAATTTTTCAAAGTCCTGACCGACGAGTCCTACTTAATTCAATCCCTTCTTATATCTCCCAGCTCACCACGTATATAGTTTCCAATTCTTATATTCCTTTCCGCTCCAACCCTGAGACTGTAGATACATTCAATGAATGGTGGTCGGTTGTATGGCCCCTGATTTCTCCTGATGAGGATCGGTTGCTGAACGTACTCCTTCCCCCCCAAGGATTGGTTCTAGGGGCGGCTAGACATACTAGCACTCAGCAACAAACAGCCGCCCCGGGAATCGGATCTAGCGTTCCAATGCGAAAAAGGAAAGCTTCCCAGCTGCAAACACCCCCGACCTCTGGGGCCGACCAGCAAGCTCCGGCGGACCTTGGAACTACTAGGACGTCAGCAAGGACCCGACCCCGAATAGGTAATTTTTCTTAAAACCGTGAACCAATTCACTATATCTTAACTTTGATTTCACTCATTTCATTCACCAGAACCGACCTTGGTAACACCGACCACACAAACGACGCCAGCCCCAGCCGACCATTCAATCGTACCTTTGGTCCAGACTGAGGCATTTCCTCTCCAAACCCCTACTCCACTTCTCACTTTGCCAATGAGCAGTCGGGCGGAGGACCCGACGAGGAGGCAAACTCTTCCTCCCGTACCGAGGAGTGGTCGGGCCAGGCACCCGACCAGGAGGCAATCTTTACCAGCAGTGCCTATAGAACCAGTAAGTTCTCTCATCAGCAATACTTAGGATTCTAATGATCAACCTTGGTGTATTTAACAACAACATTTCCATGATTTTTCACAGACACCTTCACCAATCGCATCAGCAGCAGGGGTCTCTTCAGACAGCGAGGGGACTACTTCCCAGATGGGTCGACCGCCATACATGGCATCAGACTCATCCATTTCGAAGGAAGAACCAGCTGCCCTTGCCGAAGCTGACCCTCAAGACGACATCCCTGCTGCTGCTGATCCCGAAATAGTCCAATCGGATGCAGCCGCGCTGGAAACCGAAAGTGCCTCAGCTGCGGCTATCCCAGTTGCTCTTAAGATACCGGCTGCAGTGGCTCTAGACGCAGCTGCCCAACCTGCAGCCGCCCAGCCAGCAGCAGCGCTACCTCCAGCAATCGAGTGGCAGGCAGAAGAACCACCTGTGGCAGCCCAACCTCCAGAAAGAGAAGAAGTTTCTTCGTCCGATTCGGAGACTTCTGTGAATTTGGTAAGATTAAACCAATTCATGCCACAATGTTTCTTTCGGAAAACACTAACTGTTTTATATACTACTTTCCATAGGGACCCAGGTCGGCACCTCAGCGACCATTCGCAGCAGCCGACGAGTCGGCTGCTGTTATACCAGCTGTCCGCCCTACTCGACCGACCTCATTGTTGCCCCCCTCACTGACAGCAGTTCGCCCAGAGGTGACACATATCTTATCTGAATAATTTTGCACCTCCCTTGGAATACTTATTGAAACTGTAAGACTTGCAGGGGCCTTCGGACTTAGCTATCCTATCGACTGTTCCGGTTCCAGCGGAGGCCCAAACTATATTCACTGAGGCCATTAACCATCCCCTTTCAGAATTAAGATCCGACTTATTGGACAAACTCATTCAGACGGTTGGTGGCCTTCTTTTTTACACTCCGACGGAATCGCCAGCCGTCCCCATTCTGCATCGGCTGATGGAAAGACTTACGGAGCTCAAGACTGAAGTGTTAGTTATTGGACTCCTGTCAGCCGAAACCCCTCAGCCTGTCTTCGATCAAACAACACTGGAGAATTCTTTGGCTAAGACCCGAGAATCCCTTCAGCAAACTACTGGACGGTTGGGCGGTCTCCTTAGCACGAAGGCTCAAGTTGATGAATCTATCCAGAAAAAGGAGGCAGAATTGCGGGAGCTAAGGAAGGAACAGTCTATCCTGGATAATCAAATTATCAATGAGCAGCGTCTGCTTGAGAAGTATACAAAGAACGAGGCCGAATTGGATCAAGAGCTAAAAACCCAAGCTCGATCCCAATTCATCAGAAGATATCAGACGGCTGCTAATACCAGAAGGCTATCCAGGGATGAAGTCAAATGGACAAATATAAAAACTGCCCTAGGGGCACTTTTGTAATACTTCCCCCTCTGTAACAACATTTGACTTAGTAATATATTTTTTCCTTCTTCTCCTCTCAAAACAAGGATCACCTTCCAATTTCCAACTTTTGAGGAACCGAAACAAACTCCTCCCTTAAAAGAACAATGTTTCTCACATATTAAGAAACACACCAAATTCCAAGGCATATTTTGAAAGCCAAAACACTTGAAGTGTTAACAAACATGGCGAACGACCGACCTCATGTTCCATCAAGCAACTGGGAAGGTGTTCTTCAACCCTTCTTTGTAGGTAATCACCCTATTGGAGGCCATGCAGAAGACTTGTTACATATACTCAAGCAACTAGACTTCAAATTCCGATTCTCCCAACGAGGTAGAAGAACCATTCATCGCGTCATCCGCCTAATGGAAAAAATCATTGAGGGGTATGAACCTCTTCGTGACATCCTTAGCCGCATTCCTGACCTCCATCATCACATGGAATTGATTGAAAATCACGCAGCAACCATACTTCCAGATCTTGGTTGGGATAATATATTTTCCAATCAACGAAAAGTCTTTTCAAGATTGCGTACCATTGTTGACCGTGAATACCAAGCCATAACAGACATGCAAGCACGTACCAATCAAGATTTAGACGAAATGCAAAGCCAATGGGAGAGGTACCGACCAGATTTGGAAGATCTTATTGAAGAAGAACCAGAACTAATATCCACTCACTGGGATGAAAATTCTGATTCAGAGGCGGAAAATTTCTCACAAATAAATGATGACTAACAAAAATGAACCTTTAAATAGGTTCGAACCCCATAAATGGGTTCTGAATAATATTTTGTTTCATGCAGTTTTGTTATCTGAAAAGGCAGGATAATACCTCTTCAGATATTTAGCATTAATACAATCATGTACTCTCTTACCTTCATGATTTACAATAATGAAAGCGCCATTCCCAATATCTTTTTGAATAATGTATGGTCCTTCCCAATTCGGTGACCACTTTCCCAATTGGTCAGTCTTCTTATATGTAGGAAGAATGGTCTTCCAGACTAGGTCTCCTTTTTGGAATGTCCTGTGAAGAACTTTCTTCCCGTAATTCCTTGCTCTGATTTCACTCTGTTTCACACTTTGACCTATTGCATGGAGTCGGTTAACATCCAAATCCTCCAACTGTTGCAACATAAGTTGTTGGTATTCTTTTGTAAGATCACCATCAGTAAATTCTGTTCGGCCAGACGATACTCGGATTTCGGCTGGTAAAACAGCATCTTGGCCA